GTTAGTGTTTTGTATAAGATTAAGCTTAGGTAATTGTATTCCTATATAGTTATTAATCTTGTCAATATTGTTATTAATTTCTTATATTGATATTGCAGCTGTATTTTGATCATTTCTTTTTAAATATGTTATTGTTTGGTTAATTTTTTGCAGAGCAGCATGGAGCTTTGTAGCTTTTTTGGAAAATGCATAATGTTGTTTGGAACTTGTTTTCATTTTAGATATGTTTTGTTAGCTGTCTGTTTAATTGCTTGATTTAGAATATTCCAGCTTTTGTTTAGTTTCTCTTCTGTAGTAATCTCTTGGTCAAGTTTATTTTCTCTCTTTTTTATATGCTTATTGATGTTATTCTTAAAATCTGTCCAGTTATCTACTGTCATTTTGTTGTATAAGAAAATTGTTCTTTGTCTTGTTTTGGGTTTATATTTCTTGATGCTTATATTTGTTTGCCATGTTGTTGTAATTATACTATGATCACTATCTGTTATCAGTTCAGCACTGATTATTTCAGGTTAGTCTATGTTGGGCATTAATGTATTAGATATCTATATATCATCAATTTGGCTGTGTAGAGGTTCTTTTGTTCAGATAAGTAAGTTAATGTCAAAGTAATCTAGAAGATTATTCATTTCTTGGGATTTTATTGTTGTAAAAAGTTGCAATATAGGTTGAGCCTTTCATTTTTGTTTATCAAAATTAAAATCTCCAAGAACTATAGTGCTGTAGTTATATGTGTAGCTATATATAACCTATTTAATAATTTCTTTTTGTATATTATTGCTTAGCACTTTGTTATTAGATGACAAGTAAACAGATATAATTCTTGTTTTTTGGCTTTGTAGAAAAAAGAAGTTAATTGCAATTGCTATGCCTTCTAGTGTTATAATATTGTATATATATGGCTGTAAAAATTTGAATACTGCTATCACTGTGCCCATGCTTGATTCTTACTTTTTTGCAATTTTGCTAGTGCAGTATGATGTGAATATGTTGTAATAAGGATTTAGTAACTTAAATCTAGTATATGTTAATTCAGCAAGCTTTGTCTCAGTTATGCTAACTATGTTGTAATTATTTTTATAACAGTATTCTAGCCATATTTGCATTTTAAGTTTGTCATTTGCACCTTGTATATTATGTGTTCTGATCTTTATATTATCTAATAAGTTGTTATTTGTTAGGGGTTGTTTGGGTTTTTCTATTGTACTGTTTATATTTAGATCAGTTGACATTTAATTTATATGAAGATGTCTCATTTTGGTTCTGAGAGTAGTGGTAGTTGTAGTAGATAGTCAGGTATTGTTTCGATATTAAAGTATTGGCATAAAGTTATCAAGGTGTTTGTAATATCTTCTTGTTGATTTATAGGTATGTTAATATATATCAGGTCTGTAATTTTCTCTAATTTCTCCTACAGTTCTGTTAGAGTTTGGGGAATATTGAGTTTGTTTTGTTTATTGTCTATTGTTTCATTTAATTGCGATTGGTTTGCTTGTTGATCTATTTGAATTCAAGTTGTCGAAATCTTATAAAAAAAGTAGGTTTCTCTAAATAATCTTGCTGTTTGAACAAGTGTTTTAGATGTTGTTATTGGTAGGATTAAATTGTATTTTGTTATTTGTTGTGGATCTTCTGGTAGGTTAGGTTTGTCTGTAGGGTTTACTGTCATGATATGTGGTAGTAGAGGAAGTGAAAACTTGTACTATAATCTAATTTGTTGAATAAACTTTTTTGCTTGTAGTTTTTCAGTTATTGGATATATGAAGCTATCAGTTGTTTTGATTTTGCTAGTTTCTTTGGGCAAGTGTGGCTTTGCTAGGAAGTAGTCATTGAGTAATCTTTTAAAGAAATAATCTTCTCATAATAATTGAATTGTTTCTTTAATATTTGTGTCTGGGTCTTGTGGGTCTATAGGAAAATAGAATCTGTACATAGGCTCTAACTTTTAGTAAGCTGCTAGTAATAGTTTTTTTGAAGGTGGTAGATTAAAAAAGTGACTTGGGATTCTATCAAAAGAGTAGTAATTTCTTAGTTGCCTTGTTATATCTGCGAGTTCTTTTAATTGGCTTCTTTCCATAATTAGAAAGAGATGTTTGATCTCAGAATTTAATTTCTTCACTAAGTCAGACAATGGTTCTAGTAATGTAAAGTAAATATCTGGTAGTTTATCAAAGTAGTATATTTTGTATAGAGCTGCAGTGACCACTTTGGTATATTCTCTGTATCATATAGGTAAGTCAAAGAGGAGTATTTAAATGATATTTGTTGAAATTTGATTAGGATTTGTTGGTAATTGCTATAATGTGCAATTGTTGCTTTTTGTATGATCTCATATAGGTCTGGATTATTTTTTATAGTTCTATTTTTAGTGAATCCTTTGTAATATTTAATAAGATAGAATATTTGTTTTGTTAACATTTTATAAAACTTTGTATTAGTTAGGTAGTCGATCATTATTTTTTGTCATAGTTTTTGGTGAATTAAATCTTTTGTTTTTCTATTAGTAATGATTATTTTGTTAGTTAGTTTATATTTCTTTAGTGCTTTTTGGAACAAGTTTTCATAGGCTTCTTGGTATTGTGGCATTGATTTTTTTATTCTAGTAAAAGTAAAAAAAAATGTGGTGTCTCTATATCTAAACTTAGCTTCAATTGCTAGGTATAGTGCCTAGTTTGTTGGCTTAGTTTGTATTTTGTATTTGATGAACTCTTGAATTTCTTCTTCACTTTTTAGTGCTTTCACTATTTTGTCATAGTTCCATGTAGTTTTGTCAAATGCTTCATGTACCTCTTCTTCTAATTTTTTGATTATCTCTTGTGTCCATTCTTCTGTAAAGTTATTTTGTTTTGTGCTTTGTGTATCACTTCTGTGTACTATATTTTTTTGTGCTATTTGGCTGTATGTTGCTCATGATAATGCTTGTCCTGCTATTGTGTTACTGTCTTGTTGCTGTCTGTTACTCTCTATTTCTATTTGATCATTATCTACTATTTCCATGTTTTGATTTTCAGTAGTTTCTGCTTGGTTGTTATACTTATTTATATTTATACTTTAATTTATTGTATTATTTTGGATTGTTGGCATATTCATATTTGCTAATGTGATTGTGCTGTCATCATTGTTGTTGTTTACAGTATATTGATTGTTGTTATTGTTTTTCATTTCTGTTATGTTGTTATCAAAACCAGTTTGAACTAGTTTTGTTTTGTTGTTATTGTTTTGGGGTGATGTTATCTTTGTTTTTGACAGGAGTATGCCAGTTTTGTCACTTTTTACTCTTTTATAAAGTAAAGCTATATCAAAATGAGGTTTTTTTGCCTTTGTACTAAGATGTACTGTATTTATTTTGTTTTTTTTTTTACTTGTGTTGCTATTGTCATTGGTTTTGCTTCTAGGATTGTAACCTTTCATCTTGAGCTTTTGTTCTGTCTCGAATGTAAATTTAAAGGTTGGTCTAAAGGCCACCTATTGCTTTGGTGTTTTGTTTGTTGTTGATATCACTTTTCTTTTGTGCTTTATTTTAACTTATGTTAAGCTGTATTATGCTCTGTAATGTATTGTAGTTATTTTTGTCTATAAATAATTATTTTATTTATTTGAACTTTTGTTATTTTTTATTTTTGCTTATAATTTTGAGATTTTCAGGAAAGAGTTTTTTCTTTATCTGTATCAACTACCTTTTTAACATTTTCTTTCTTTAAATTCAATTTTTTTAATAATTTTTCTTCTTAGATTCAACTTGGTTATATTCAATATAGTGTTTCAAGTTGGTAAAAATTTTGCCAATTAACTAGTTGTCAACTATAGTTGCAACTAATCAACTTTATATCATGTGATTAAATTTGGCAATTAGCCAATCAAATCAAAGAAATTAGCATGAGTTAGCTTGAACAAACAGAATTTCTTATAATTGAACTAATTAATAATTCAATTGTTTGATTGTTTTTAAAATTTTTCAAATCAACTAGTTGAAAAGTTGTCAACTAGTTGATTTTTTAGCTAACAATTTGAATTACTAGTTCAATAAAATAATTTTTTTTTTTTGTGATTTTATTGACTTAGCATTATATGATTTTAATTTATATAAAAATGCTAAATTTATATTATATGAAAAATACTAAAATATTTGGATTTTATATAGGTAAATTTGGATTCAAGTTTTTTTATGTTTCTGGTCTAGGAGTAAAGTTTAAAACACAGAAGCATGGAGCATGCCTCAAGTCCAAAGGGCATGTCCTTGCCATGTGATGTTTAAAGTTATTTTAATTGCCAATAAGTTCAAATAAACTAGAACCGTAGATACTAAATCAACATGTAAGATTTTTAAGAAGTTGTAAACTATGTGTTAATCATATAATTTAAAAAAAGCATGTTCATAGGCATGAGAGGCATGCCTTAGCTAAAGGGCATGCCCATATGGGCATGCCCAATTTTTTTTCCCATGTCCTGAACCCTATCTAGGAGTCAATACACTAGTCTAAATTAAGGTGATGGTTTACTTTTTTGATGCAGTTATGATTACTTTTTTGATGCAATTATGGTTAATAATTTATATAAATATCAATAAAGTAATTTATTCAGCATGTAGATTATTTCCAAATTTATACCAAACGCACCTGGCTTTAACCGACCCTAGAATAAGAATTTGTAAAAATTAGTGCGTTAAAGACCCAGACTATTGGATTTTTAACCCAGTTCCAATCTAACGTTTTACCAGATAATTGGCCAGGTTAGTTAAAATCATGTCAACACGAACCGTGAAAAATTTTTATTACTTGATTGTATACAGTTATATTAAATATATGTTAAAAAAACTATGTGTATATTTTTATATATTTAACAATATGATTTAATTTTTAATTATATATTAACAAAATCTAGGTTTAAGCTTTATTGCAATAGTTTTTAAAATCGTAAATACTATAGATGCCAAATACTAAAAATAGTGTTATCGTTGCGTTGGGGTTGGACTGTTTTTGCTTATAAGAAAACTCGTTTTTTTACAATTCATCATGTTCTGCCAGTGGATCGGTATCCTTTGGTGGAGGTGAACCATCAGAATATAATTTAGCAGTGATTGGATTAACAATGGCTTGTAGTTCTTCTCGCTTCTCATCCAGTTCCTCTTTTGTGGCAGAATTTGAAAATTCATCAAACCATTCTAGAGTCTTTTTAACAGCATCCTTGATGGTAGTTTTATCTTCTTCACTAAGTTTCTTTCCGAGTTCACCGTCATCCGCTACTTGATTTTTGAGAGAATAAACAAAGTTTTCGAGTTGATTTTTAGATTCAACACGTTCTTTTAGTATCTTATCTTCTTCAGCAAACTGTTCGGCTTCTTCGACCATACGATCAATTTCTTCCTTGGAGAGACGACCCTTATCATTGGTTATTGTTATAGATTCAGATTTACCAGTACCTTTATCTGCAGCGGAAACTTTCATAATACCGTTTGCATCAATTTCAAAAGTGACTTCAATCTGAGGTACTCCTCGTGGTGCTGGTGGAATTCCTGTTAATTCAAACTTTCCAAGTAAGTTGTTGTCTTTAGTCATGGATCGTTCACCTTCATAGACTTGAATTAATACAGTGGGTTGGTTATCTGCTGCGGTTGAGAAAATTTGCGACTTCTTGGTGGGAATCATTGTATTACGAGGAATAAGTTTGGTCATAACACCACCAGTAGTTTCTATACCAAGAGTGAGAGGACAAACGTCGACTAATAAGATATCTTTGACACGTTCGTCTCCTGAAAGTATACCACCTTGGATAGCGGCACCGTAAGCAACAGCTTCGTCGGGATTAATGTTTTTAGATGCTTTTCTACCATTGAAAAACTCTTCGAGGAGTTGAACAACCTTAGGAATGCGTGTGGAACCACCTACAAGGACAATATCATGTACATCTTTCTTATCGACATTTGCATCTTTCAATACTTGCTCAACCGGTTGTAATGTTTTTTTGAAAAGGTCATTGTTGAGCTCTTCAAATTTAGCACGAGTCAATGTCTCGGAAAAGTCTTTACCCTCGTGGAACGATTCAATCTCAATACGAGTTGACATCTGAGAAGATAGAGTTCGTTTAGCCTTTTCAACTTCACGTTTAAGTTTTCCCATGGTTTTTAGATCTTTGGTGATATCGACTTTATTCTTCTTTTTGTAAAGCCTAACAAAATGATCAATGACTCGATTATCAAAATCTTCACCACCTAAATGTGTATCACCAGCGGTAGCCAATACTTCAAAGACTCCGTCGTCGATCGAGAGAAGAGATACATCAAATGTACCACCACCAAGATCGTATACAAGGATTTGGCGTTCGCCATCAGACTTATCGAGACCGTATGCAATTGCTGCAGCGGTGGGTTCATTTACGATACGGAGAACATTAAGTCCTGCGATTGTACCAGCATCTTTAGTGGCCTGACGTTGTGCATCATTGAAGTAAGCCGGAACTGTTACTACGGCATGTGTGACTTTTTTGCCCAAATAAGATTCGGCAATTTCCTTCATTTTTCCAAGTACCATGGCGGAAATCTCTTCAGGTGTAAATGTTTTTTCTTCACCTTTGACTTGGACTTGAATTGCAGGCTTACCATCTTTGTCAATGACTTTAAATGGGAAGTGTCTCATGTCATTTTGGACTTCTTTGTCACTAAATCGACGACCGATCAATCGTTTGGCGTCAAAAACAGTGTTTGTCGGGTTATTGGCTGCTTGATTTTTTGCTGCATCTCCAACAAGACGTTCTTCATCAGTAAACGCAACGTATGAAGGAGTTATACGGTTACCCTGATCATTGGCTAAAATTTCCACTCGACCGTTTATGTGTACCGCTACGCACGAATATGTTGTACCCAAATCAATTCCGATAACTACAAAATTAAACAGATACATGATTCATTTTATTAGCTGTATTCGAGAAATATTTGCAGAAAAGTAAATTACTAACAACTCTATTAATGCCATACCTGTACCGAAGTCCGGTTTATCATCGGCAATTGCTATATTACTAGTGATCGATATTAACAGCAAGCACAGAGCCACAAAAAATGAGAAGAAAGTGGCTTTCTTCATGATATATTATCTTAACGAAGAAAGACTTTCGATTTATCGATTAAATAATTGTGATTAATCGCGAATAATTAATCGTGAAAAGTGTAAATTTTAGGTAAGATGAGTGGATATTATATGTTGAGAAAACGAACGATGGTTTTTTTTTTTTTTTTTAACTTTTGAAAGAAGAAAATTCGTGGCATTTATAAATTAATGTGATAGAGAAATAATTGTGTTGGCATTTTCTTATTGGGAGAAGATTGTTTGGAGTTGGGTTAACCAACGCACGTCTGTGGTGGCAATTTATAATTGGTTAAAATTTGTGAAACCATGTAGACAACCGCAATAAAAAATCTGGTACAAATCAGGTTTATTAGATGCCCAAATTTAAAATTACGTCCAAATCCCAAGCTTCGGCAAGCTATTGATAGATGTTATATATATTTATACACTACGTAGTGCTGTATATAAAATACAGGCATTATATACTTCTAAGATGTATTTAATTTTTAAATTTTCTAAAAATACTCATAGGGTATGATACCCGGTATAAGAAACAATATAACATACGTATTAGGTTAGGGTAAGTTAAAATAGATTAAAGGTATAGGTGTATTTATATATATAAAAATTTGGAGCTGCACCCTTTTACTTAAGGAATCTATACCAGTTTTCTTAATAAAATGTTGAGAAATTGATGACTTTTTTTTGGTTTATATCTAGATACAATATATATTTATTAGATACAAATAGAAATTCTTAAAAAAATATTTTTATAAAATTAGATGTTAACTATTTTTATTTAAAGTGTTTACAACAGTTTTTTTTTTGTTTTTGCTAAGGCCAATGTTTATAGCAGCTACTGCCTTTACTGTGTTTTTAATTATGGTTACATAACTTGTATAAGGTGAATATGCAACTAGTCATATATGCAACGTTTGGTTATTTATTTAAGTAGTTTACTTGCAGATTTTACACTAACTGTTATATTTGTAATCTGTTAGAAGATTCTTAATTAAACATTCTAATCTTTATATTACATTTAATAAATATTATACTAATTTCTGTACATCTAAGTGTTATTTAATTTAATATTTTGTATCTTTTTCTGCATATCTGTTAAGTTATTACATATTTTAGAATAAAATTAAAAATATCAATAATTTTTGTTTTACTATAGATATAGTAACTTAGTAAAGTAAACAAGTTGTTATCCTTTCAAGTAATAGGTTAGAAGTTTAAAATCTATTAATAGTAAAAATTTAAATTTCTATATAGGTAACAATAACTGTTTTTTGATAATTAGATTAAGATATTTATAATTATAGTTGCATCAGTATAACTGGCAGATTATAAAGTATCTGTATAACTGGTTATATAAAAGAATACAAACTGGTATTAGATAATGCAAACCTAAAATAAGTCTTCATACCTGTATAAATCTGTAAAAACTAAAAAACAAGAAACTTATTTGAAAAGATCTAAGCAGAAAGATAATATAAATCTTTAACAATATTACTGTAAAGATGAAATCTAAAAAATAAATATTAATATTATAAAACTAGACAGGTAAGAACCTTGGATAAAAAGTATTATCAATTAACTTGTTAAAATTAGACTAAAGAAAAAGAATATTAGATTAAACAGATATATTAGAAATAGTAATGATATAATTCATTAATTAACAATCTGCATAACTATTTAAAATCTATATTTTTGTGTAATCTGTATCATTCAAATAATTTTTTATATAAACTATGCAATTCAGTTTAGATCACAGATAAAACTGTCTGAGCTTAAATTCTTGCATGTAATTTTTATTTTGTAGTTTACAATCTTAGTATATCTTAGTATATAGTATATTAATATATATAACTAAAATTACTAATAAAGATATGAGCAAGGCCTCACTTTAATACCAAAAAAAAATATATATATAAACTATGCAATTCATATACATACTATAGTCAATTGATCAAATGATAGTTAACTGTAGTTATTTGTTAAAACTATTTTTAACTATAGTTATATTGTTAAAATTATAGTTAATTGTAGTTGGCTATTCAAATTATAGTTAACTATTAAACTATGGTTAACTATAATTAATTATACAAACTATAAAAATTGTTGGTTAACTATTATTTTTTATTTTCTTATTTGTTTTATTGTTAAATAATGAATTATAAAAAAAAATTGATTTGCATTAGTATTATATTTTTAATTTTATTGAAAAAAATGTTTATTTATGATAAAGATAATACTATAACATTAATTGAAATATATGATACCATAGAACAAACATAAACATTTAATAAAAGAATAAAAACCAATGATGCACAAGATGTTAATCTTAGAAGTTAGATTATATTTTAATTATATATATATTGATAATATGAGACATGCAATTTGTAAAGTTAATAAAGTAAAAAGAATAAAAATGTAGTAAAAATTACAAAATTAATATATTAACAAATAACTGTTTTTCTTATCTATCAAACATTTATAGAATAACTAAAGATCATATTAAGAAGAAAGATAATATAGAATTAGTTAATTTACTTTATAATAAATCATATTAGCTTTGATTATGCCAGTATCTTACAGATTAGATTATAACTGATTTTTAATTACTTACTGTTCTTAAAATTTTAGCTTTTAGAAAATTTCTAATGAGATTAGATCTAAGATTTCAAATTCTATATATTAAAACTATAAAAAAACTTGTACATATTGCATATAATTATTTATTCAAGTTAATTACAGAAAAATTAAATATTAATTCAATTTTGGTACTTTTAATATCTAATCTTTGCATCTTTAACATCTAATCTCTGGATCAGTAAAAGTTAACAAGGATTTTTGAATATAATATATTTATATATAGAACATGAATTTCAATTTTATAAGATCATGCTTTCTGTTAAACATATTTATTATTCACATTCTGCAGAAAATATTAGTAATACTATTCTTTTGAATTGGAATTATATAATAAGATCTTTATAGTAACAACTAATAATAGTAGAAATATACAAAAGATTATAAAAGATTTGAAATATGAGATGAAAAATATAACCTAGCAATCTTGTACAACACATATTTTTCAATTGGTAATTGAAAAAAGATTAGAACTAGTTAAAATTTTAGTTGTCTGCATCAAGAATATGATTAATTTTTTTTTAAGACCAAAGCAATTTGAATGCTTGAAGAATATTCAAAAATAATATGCAAAATCAAACAAGGTTTACAAGTTTTATTATATTTATTTTAGGAAAATTTACAGATAAAGGCCCAAAAATGAAAATAATTACAATAAGAGCCCAAAATGAAAATAATTACAGATAGAGGCCTGATATTTGAAAATTATTACAAATAAGAGCCCAAAATAATTATACATTTAAAAACCTATGATTTAGCTCATTTTGATAATTTTAATATGATCATTGATTGTTAATGCATAAGAAATGTAATAATAATCAATTGATAATTCGAATATAAATTCCAATGCACAATAAAAAATGTACATTCACGCTGTAAATTTATTTCATTGAAATTCTTATATATATTTCTTAAAACCTTTCATAAACGCTAGATACAAAGTTACGGCCAGTAAGACTTTTAGAAACTTGGAAAATGTCCGTTCGGACTTGGACAGTTATTCTGTTGAATTCTAAGTTAAGAACGAACAAACCAAGTAAACTGTTATTCTGTTGAATTCTAAGTTAAGAATGAACAAATCAAGTAAGCTGTTAACTGTTTATTTTACAAATGAAACCAATTCATGCTTTTTACTATTTCAGCTAACAAGCGTAAAGCTGACTACATTTATAGAATAAGGCCAATTTCTCATGATCCAACTTGTCAACCTTTATGGATATATTCAAAGCACGAGATATAGTAATACTTCGACCTTGTGATATTGAAAATCGTGTTCGTTCTAAAAGTGGGGACCGAAACATCATACATGGTGGCTTGGAGAAGTAAATACGTTAGGCCACACAAAGCTAATTTTTCATTTGCATCACATGGATTCAAAATCCTGGCAGTCGGGCGGAATTTTTTTGTTTTTTTTTTTACAGTCAAACTCTATAATCACACCCTTGGTTTCAAGAATTTTGAAGGTTAAATTTATATGCATTATATGAGTTGGTTTAAAAGTCTGTGATTATAAGCAAATGAGATTATAGAGGAAGTGACTGACTATAGAGAGGTTTGACTGTAATTCTAGATAACTCTAAAACACGAAATAAGACGATTAACCATGATACCGTTATGATTAAATCGGCTAACAACCCTTATTTGTAATAATTTTCAAATATTTCCCTTATTTGTAATTATTTTCGTTTTGGGCCCTTATTTGGTAAAAAACAGTATGCAACTTGTCACGACAGCTTTATCTAAAGTGAAAATCTTATCTAAAAAAAAAAAAAAAGACAGTGTCTATATCAAACATTTCAAAATCATTTTTTTCATTATTTGAATATTCCCTATCATCGATTTCAACATCAATGTTATTGGAGTTGGAACATTCACCAATTTCATCTTGAATGCTATTGGAATTAAAATATTCACCGGTTTTTTCTTGAACAAAAGAATGTGAGCAAGGGAGCAAATATTCTCGATTTCTTCTCCGTCTTGGTTAATTTCAACAAGTTTTTTCGAAATATTTGTTGCTTCGACGCGAGTACTCAAAAGAGGAATTATTTCGACTACAGTTGTTAGGCGAAACCTAGAGGTTTCTCCAAAAAGAAATTAAAAAGACGAAATGGCGAAACCTGGCGAAATTGGCGAAACCTGGCGAAACTAGCGAACCCTGGCGAAATTGGTGAAAACATAGCACAACAAAATTGTCCCGGCAGATTCGGGTACCTTATGTCAAGCGAAAATCGACCTCCGACCTTAAAATTTCTGGTCCGGCACCAATAAAATCATGAGATATTGTCTAACAAAATAAACAAAATAAACAGCAAAAACAACAAAAAAATAATAATTCTTAAATAGAGCCTGCTAACCAACTTCCGACTTCTAATTAAAAATGTTTAGCATTAAAATTTACATATAACATTTACCCTTTCACATCCGATATAGATAGAATACTTGAGATACTCCAACCCAAGTATTTGACCGGAAGGGTCCAATTTTCGCTTGACATAAGGGTACCCGGCAGATTCTCAATTTATTGGCTAAGAGTGACAATAAAAAAATTTGGCTGGAATTACTCAAAATTTTATTAATGAAATCACAGCCGCTCATTAAATGAAAATTGGTTCTGGGTCAAATTACCATTTTGTGGGGTTATTTCTTTGAAAATTTCTATTTTGAGTATAAAAAAGTTAAAAAACTTAATTCCGGCCAGAAATTAGTAAACAGTTATGTAATGTAGGCCTAAATTTTGCAGATCCACGCCCGTTAGCCAATAAAAATCGTGACAACTATGTGATCTTATTGTTGCGTTACACGAGATCTTGAAATCTGATTGGGCAGCGAAATTTTTTGACTGGTGATTTAACTACTATTGCTGCAGCTACGTATATTAATTAAGAATTTTTGCTGCGTCATAAAATTGACACACATTTAATTCTGGTAATATGGCAATACGGCATTACGGCAGATAATATTTATGACATTCAGGTACTGTGTCGTATTTAATTCTACCATCTGGTAAAATGCCGTAATATCAACTATAGCTCTAACCCTATATTTACACACAACACATATGTAATTACGTTAAAATATTTGTCATATATAATGTTTATTATCGAAAATCAAATTTTACTATTATAGATAAATAACTGAAGTTTAAAACTAACTAAAGAGCAGATTTTTAATCATAATAATGTTAATAAACTACTTACATATATATGGTACTTAATGTTTTTTAATGTAATGTTAAAGATAAATTTATTTAAAAATTAAATTAAAGCTTTTATGTTTATTTACATGAATAATATTAATACATAGATAAGCGATTCTAAAAGAAAATATTTAAGCCTTGAATTTCAAGGCTGAATATATTTAATCATAAATTCTAAAACCCTTCCTTTAATAGTAATTGAATACAAACAAATAGTTATCATTTTGTTTATTTCTTTGTCATTTTTTATGTGAGCCACATGCAAATTATTTTCATCAAATGTTTGAATTCTAATTTTTATTAATAGTATTTGAATACAAACAAAAAGCTATTGTTTTGTTTATACATTTTTTATATAAACCACTTGCTGTACTTAATAGCTATGCAAAAGATTTTATTCATCAATATGGCTTAGTTTTTTCCAAAGTATTAGAGGATTTGATCTGTGCTGAGTTTTAAGGTTTTCCTTTCGCCAGGGGTTTCGCCAGTTTCGCCGGGTTTCGCCAGGTTTCGCCAATTTCGCCGGGGAGTTTCGTCTTTTGCCATTTGCCCAAAATGGTTTTGCCTAACAACGCCTAACAACACTAATTTCGGCTCCATTTGTTTCTAGGATACTATTAACTATACTGAAATCTAACAAAAAAAAAAAACATTGAGTTTAAATTTAGAAATTAAAAAAATTAATTTTAAAAATAAAATGGAAAACCTTACCAATATTATATTCCTGACATCTAGAACAAATACCTTGAATAATTTTACAAATTTTATTTTCATATTGTACTAAGTTGCGACGAAGATTATTTATCGTACTTTCATATTGTGCTTCGTTATTTCTTATATCTCATCTAAATGTGAAACGGCATTTTTGGTTGCTGTTTTTTCATTCTTTAAAGTTTCGTTTTCTTTTATCAGATCTTTGCTTTCTCTTTTTAATGAATCTATTTCGGCCTGAAAATAAATTTCCTTCGTCTCTAATCTTCTGTTTCTTCCTTCTAATCTTTGAATTTTTATAAACATTATATTTATTCGATCTTTTAATGCGTTTAGAAGGTCAAGATTATCAGAATAACCTTCACTTGATATATCGGCCTATAGAGCAGCAGCTATAAAGTTTAAAGAAGCAATTAATCCAGTTTTATAAAATAAAATACATAAACTACAAATGAACTTTTTACCTCTCAAATTTAGAAATTTAGTTCTTGATCTGATTTCGTTTTAAACTGTAATTACTTTTTTGAAAAGTAACCGTAAATGAGACAAGTGCAAATTGATGATGAATTTTAATACGCGTTCACATCATGCGACTTAAAAATGGGAGAAAAGAAATCAATTCCCAGCTAAAAGTTTCACGAAATCAACTAGATTTTCGTATAATGAAATCAACTTTCAACTGGGAATTGATTTATTGATGTTGTGAAACTTTGAGCTGTGTGATTCCTTAATGTTGGTTTCCTTTTTCTACCTTCATCCGTGTGTAAAATAAATAGAAGTTGATTTCCTTGTGTGAAAATCTAGTTGATGTCATGCTGTTTACTTTTATCCGAATGTAAACAGATAGGTTTCATGACATATGACATCAACTGGAACTGATTTTCAAACAAGGAAACCAACCTATTTATTTACACACGCATGAAGGTAGAAATTTCACAACAAAATCGACTTTTATCTTATCGATCACGATCAGCTGACATGTCTGAGGCTACTGTAGTAATAAATAATGAATTATTATAAAATCCAGAGTCAACAACTTTCTCATGATTGGTCGATCACATGAAATTAAATAACACGCTTGTACAACATGTGACAATCAACCAATCAAATTGCACTTTAGCAAAGAAAAAAAAACAAATAAAGGTATATATTTTTTTTAAAAAAAAATGGCTATCACACTTTTATTACAAGGTTTATCGAATAAGCTCTGAGTATAATAAACTATAAATCCTTAAATATTACATTAGTATAAACCTTTATACATATACGTATATATAGTTTTGAACACTCATATTATTAACTCTATTCTTATATTTACATTTTAAACATCTTTAACAGAGCTTAGAAATCGCTTTATCTATTTTTAAAAGAAACATATGTACTGTCAGTTTTCTTTAAATAACTATATTTAACGATTTAGTAATTACATATAGTTCTACAGTTGCAATATACGTAGAAATTTCACCTTCTAAATAGAACAGGATTATTTTGCATAGTAACTGTTGGAGCTTCACTGAAGATAGGACGGACTTGATTTTTATTTTTTGCTTGTGAAATGTTACATTCTTAAAAAGTACTTTAAAAACTGTATAAATACAATTGAAAGTGATTGACCAATCAGAAGAAAGTTATCCTATATGAGTCAACCGGATTAAAATAAATCTAAAATAGCAATTGATTTTTTACAAGAAAACTAAATGTACTAATCATAAATTTAGCTAACAAACTTATAACTTTACAAATTTGAACATATTGAACATATTGATTAAAAAGATCTTTATACATAACTAACTAAATATATTCTGTGGTTATTTTAAACATTAAAATCCTTTGTATTTACCAGCTAAATGAACAAGGAACAAAGCTGAAATATTCATGAACTTAAATAATGTATTTAAACAATCGATCAAAAAATCTTTGTACTTAATTAAATTAACACGAATAAATAAATAATATTCAAAAACGATTCTAAAAATCGACTAGTCTTTTCTTTTTAAAAAAAAAGAACAAAACAACAAAAAATACCTAATTTAAATATATTACCCTATTCTAAATCTCTGAATTTTTCTTTCACAAATTCTTGACTGAAGAAATCGTGTTTTAAGTTTGTTGATAGTAATTTTTCAATAGTGAATAAATGTTTTAGTTTTAATGCTGCCTACTTAATAGAATCAAACAAAATTAGATGAACAGTACTATGTGGTAATATTTATTTATAAAAAGCTTTATATTCATCAATATTAATGCGAACAAGTGTATATTCAACTAACTAATTAATAAGAATGAATGTTCACAAGTTTGAATCACTTATCTAATTATCACTTATTTAATTAATTAGCAAAATTAACACGAATAAATATAAGGCACTGAATAGCTATATATAATTTTAGCGATATAACTCACGTGCTTGGTTTAGTTATATTTTTGTAACAAAAATTCTCGAAGTAAAAGTCAAAAATGAAGTTAAAGAAAAGTTCAAAGTTAAAATGAAAGATAAAGCGAAAATCATAGTGAAAACCAAAATGAAAGTTAAAGTAAAGGTTAAAACAAAAGAAAGTTAAAGTAAAAAAAAATTAAAGCAAAAATTAAAGAATCAAAACGAAAGCCAAAGCGAAAGTTAAAACGAAGGAATGATAAATATAGCTTTATCGGCAATCAGTTTTCGAAATTATATGTAAGCTAGCAAAAAATCCAGCTACCATTTTCTTTGGCCAACATGATGTAAGTCATGTGGCTTAGTCGCCTTGAGGTCAGACAGGCCCTAATTTTAATAATTTTTAATTTTGGGCCGCTATATGTAAGAATTTTAATTTTGGGCTGCTATATATAAGAATTTTTATTTTGGACCCTCATCCGTAATTATTTTATTTTTGAACCTTTATGTGTAAATTCCATAAATTTATTATTTGGCAACATATTTTTTCAAAATATAAAACACTTGCAGGTTGCTTTAAGGTAAAATTTAATTGTTTATATTGTATATTTTTGCTATTGTTGGGTTCGGATAACTGCGACTCTGTCGCTCCACAATTCAATATCTCGCGTAACGTACGATAAGTAACCTTTTCGAAAGAGGGTGTTAGATT